TGCCTACCCCTGCTCCAGAAGAATGAATATAATGATCAGATCTTGAAAAGTTACTTAAAAAAAATCATTACTTGTTGTTAAGAGTGCCAATGCCTGAAAATTAATTCTTCAACATTATATCTTCTTTTTCAAAAACAAATAATTGTTACTTTCTCAATGTTCAAAAGTGAGTAAATTAGTTCTTTTTTATGTCCTTTAAAACTACAACAGCAATAACAGAATGTTACAAACACATGGCTTGTGGTACAAAACATGCCTCAACACATCCTATAACTATAAAAATAAATAAAACAGTTTCAGTTATGCTGCAAGAAAAAAAATAATGCTATTATTTCTTGTTTAAGTTACAGTCACCACGTGATAAATGTATTATTATTTATTGTAAAAGGAACTAATTAGAAACAACTAATGATTTGCAAGTATTTACTTTCAAGACTAGAAGCTTTGCCCCATTCTAAATGAAGCTGGATGTTTTTTCCTCCTCTCAAATAAATCTGGCAAGATCACTTATTAATCTTGAGAAAAATTTGTCAGACACATTATGTTGTCCTTTATTTAACCAGAATAAGAGGAAATAATCCATATTCTCGTTGGTCAAGATTAAAAGCATATTTCCTCCATTCAATGGGAGATAGCAATTTGAATTTGGTACAAAGTGAACCATTAGACTTGTATTATGATGAATGTTTATATACTGGCATTTTCTCGGTTTCCTTATGTGATATCACAATAATTAAATGCAATTCTGCAATTCTGATTATGAAGAGAAATAATGTTAATTTCATTGTGGCTGTACTTCCCGGGTGAGGGGGGGGGGAGATACTGCACTTATGTTCATTTCCAACTCAGTTCTCACTGAAATTAATAGGAAATATTCTATTGCTTTTGAACAGCTCAGTATTTGTCATCATGGAACAGAAGTGGAAATTATAGACATCTGGTATCTGTCAGATATGTTGACTTTGCATTGTGATGGCAATGATAATCATGGAAATAACGAACAATAGTAGATCATAGAGATATTTGTAGCACTTGGGAAAATTACTTTTTTGGAGTACAATTCCAGTTTTTGGAATGCAGTTCTATACTGGCTGTGGGATCCTGGGAATTTTGCCTCAAAAAGTGCATGAGTCAAACCCGACTCATGGCGATCCTATGAGTGAGACATGTCCAATATCCCCTATCCTCCACTGCTCTGCTTAAGTCCTATAAATTCATGCCTGTGAACTCCCTGATTGAGTCTATACACCTGGTGTGCAGTTTTCCTCTCTTTCTCTTACCCTCTAGCTTTCCTAGCATTATTGTCTTTTCTAGTGATGTGTCCCTTTTCATTGTGTGGCTAAAGTACAACAGACTCAGTTTGATCATAGCTTCCAAGGAGGTTTCATGCTTTATCTGTTCTATGAACCATTTGTTTGTCTATAGTTTTTGTGGGTTTTTCGGGCTGTGTGGCCATGTTCTAGAAGAGTTTCTTTCTGATGTTTCGCCAGCATCTGCGGCTGGCATCTCTGAAAATGCCAGCCACAGATGCTGGTGAAATGTCAGAAAGAAACTCTTCTAGAACATGGCCACACAGCCGAAAAACCCACAAAAACTATGGATGATGGCCATGAAAGCCTATGACTTCACATTTGTTTGTCTTTTTGGCTGTCCATGGTATCCCAAGTACTCTTCTCAAGCACATCTAAAATGAGTTGGTTTTCCTTCTATCTGCTTTCTTTACTTCCAGCTCTCACATCCATACATGGTGAGTGGGAACATAGTGGCTTGGATGATTCTAACTTTAGTGCTCAGTTGTATGTCTTTACTCTTTAGCATCTTGTCGAGTTCTTTCATAGCTGCTCTTCCTATTCCTAGTCTTCTTATTTCTTGACTGCAGTAACCATTTTGGTCAATGTTTGATCCTAGATACAGAAACTCTTTAGCTATTTCAGTTTCCTCATTGTCTAGGTTGAATTTATGTATTTCTTCCATGGTCATTATTTTTGTTTTCTTTATGTTCAATATTAAGCCTGCCTTTGTACTTCCATCTTTGACCTTCCTTAGTAATTGTTCCTAGTCTGTGATGTCTTCCTCTAGTATTATGATGTCATATGTGCATCTTGAGGGGGAAGCAGATGGCGCAAATGGCCGTTTTGGGGGCAAGGAAGGGGAGGGGCAGCCGCACGGTGGGCGCCCCAACCCCTTCCTGAAGGCATCGCCGGCGCGTCGGCCCCTCCGCATGGCCGGCGCTCTGACAATGCTTTTCCCGCCGCAGCGTCCGCACACGCTGCAGCGGAAGAGTCGCTGAAGCTGCGCCACCAGCCTTTTGCAGCGCACCTTCAGCGACTTGTGGAAGGAGCGCTATTTTAGCACTCCTTCCAGGGGCGGTGAAGCTGTGTGGGGATACCTCGGCCCCACGGCGCAGCTTCCCGGGGTGGTTCAGGGCCGCCCGTCTGCTTCCCCCCTTGGACTGTCGATATTCCTTCCTCCTATATTCACTCCTTCTTCTGAGTCTAACCCTGCTTTTCTTATGTTACAATGCATACAAGTTGAACAAATAGGGTGACAGAATGCAGCTGTGCCTAATCCCTTTGCCAATTGCCAATCTGTTTCTCAGAATTCTGTTCTTATAAGTTGCCTCTTGTCCTGAGCACAGATTTCTCATCAGAACTATCAAATGTAGTGGCACTCCCATGTCTCTGAGCTTTTCATGCTCTATACAGTCAAATGCTTTGCTAGTCTATAAAGCACATGGTGATTTTTTTTCTGGAATCCCTTTGTGTGGATATTAGTACTTTTGTAAAAGTATAGCAATATATATCTGATATATTGATCAAATTGATATCACTATATCAATTATATATATATCAATCAACATATCAGTTTATATCAATCTTATTTTACAGAGTTTTGTAAACAAATAAACAAGGCAGATCTGTGTCCCAAACGAGCTTCTAAGCCAAACAGGACAGCAGTGTGGGAGACAACAGAGGAGGGTGACACACAATGACACAATGCCCACAATCTGTGTGGACAAGTGTAGTTACAGCTAATTAAATCTCATGGAGATTGAAGATGAAGAGATTACAGAAGAAAATCTGGCATTGGGTTGTAGCCATGGACTCACTTAGATGGCATGTAGACAACTTGCCATCATTCAGATGTATTTGGGCTTTCATTGCCTTTTGCCATCAGCTGTGAAAGCTAATGGAGGGCCTGGCTCAGTGCTAGGGAATCATGGGAATTGTAGTTTTTTCTGAGACATTTAGCCTTCTCTGTCAGAGAGCTC